GGCCACGAGCACAGATGTGCACTGTGGGCCGAGACCCATGTCTGGGAGGGAAACCACATCCAAAGGCTGGGCTCTGCCTTTGGCCATAGATTACATCCAGAAGTGCCAGCCAGACCGCTGTTGGAATGGAAGTCTCCCCCACCCCAGAAAGATGCCTTAAAGGGTGATACATCCTACTCGTGTATATGAAGGAGGAGGAGCAAAATCCAGGTGACAGGAACTGCTAAATCACTAGAGGACCAGGGGGAGAGGGGATTTTATGCACTTTAACATATTGGTAACATAACCTTCCTCGATTTCTACCGTTTTGTGTGGAACTGCCCCCAGGAATGGAGATGGTGGCTTGGAGTCCAGTACTTTCTAGGAGAATCACAGCTGTGTGCTTTGATAAAGAAGAGCCACAGGGCACTGAGAAGAGTTAGGGTGGTTGTGCGTGCTTCTGTATGGGCACTGTGTACGGGCACGGGCATGTGTGCAAGCACACTGCTCAAAAGGGGACAGCGTACACAATGCGGCCCTCTTGGGAGAGAAGCAGTACACCCTTTTCCCTGGGCTCTCTTTTAGGCTGTGATGTTCGAGTGCTTCTCTCTCCTTGCAGACTGCATTCTACGAACATTCCGGGACCTTGGTCCCTGGCGCTTCTGCCTGGGGTATTTGCTTAAAGGATTTTGCTGCTGATTTTGCTCTATCGGGATTGTGCACAGCCCTTCTTCTGCTCACGCGTGCACCAGGGCCATGCTTCTGTGACGTCTGCCCTCTGGCCACTGCAGAACTTATAAGCCCTCAGGAAAGAGTAAAAAAGATGAAAGGATGTGTCTCTGAAGCTGTGAGACTCTGGGGCTTATGGAAGTGAGCTTGATTTACATGAGAGCTTTGCTAGAATCTTTTCCCACGGGCATATTTGGGATGCTGTGGAAGGCTTCCACCACTTTCTTCATTCACAGTGTAGCTATTTCAGAAAGTTAATTAAGCTGACCAAGATATTGTCGTCCTTTAGAACTCAAGGTAGACTTGGAGTTTGCCTTTTGGGAATGACCCACAGCCTGGGAACTAGGGAAGATAAAGCCTCATCTATTTTTATTTTGGTAGGCTTACTTTTTCTTCAGCTTACTTGATAATTAGTAATTTACCTATCCTCTTTCAGATTCCTTAATGCACTTATTTTTAAATTGCCTGATTGTGCACATGACCGTGTTAGGCACTTTGAAGAACACTAAGAATTAGAAAATCCAGTTTTTACCTCAGGGAGTTTGGAGTTTGCAGGGAGGAGAATTATAAAACAAGAAATAAAAACTGAGGCAACATTTTAGACTCTGTTCAGTGCCGGATGACTGAGAATTTCAGAAGCTGGTTTTCCCTTTCTGGAGTGAGACAGCATGGTTCTGAATGCTGCATTCCGCAACACTGCCATCGTGACCTTGGACGAGACCTCACCCTCCCTAAGCCTCAGTTTCTTTTCTTGCCAAAAGGGGGAAAGTAATATTATAAATCTCTCAGGAGTTGAGAGGATTAAATAATTTCATGTGTGAAAAGCACTTAGCACCGTGTCTGGCACATGATGAGTGCTTGGTGACAGCTGTCACCGGTCGACTTTATTCGCTGCTCACCGCTGTGAGCGGGTCTGCGAGGGACTGTGCACAGGCAGGCTGCATGGCCGATGTGACCTGTGGTTTGCAGGCTTTTCAAGGCTGCCTGGTGCAGTGGGTCTGAGACAATGTTTAAACTCCAAGGATCCCTTACTTCACACCCCTCCACTCTTTAATCCTTAAAATAAACGCAGGGTTAAGGATCAGAAGCACCGTTGACCCAAAGCTTTACTAATGAAGTGTCCCTAGCCCTGGTGAGACAGCATTGTGGGGGAGGGGCTAGGGTCACAACTAAGAAAGGATGTCCCTTGAAGTCAGCACCGATCCCTGCTTTCAAGGATTGGGGGATCAAGAGAAGGAACTTACAGGGGTTCCTGCATTTTCTTTACCACCTGCTGCCATGTTAAATTTCCTTCACTGAAGTTGGTAGAGAGCCCTTGACCACAATTTTGTTAGCCTCAAGAGTAAAGCCTGTGAGGGCAGAGATTTCAAATGCTGGCATATGTGATACATGATATATAAATGTAAGCTATATGATATCTATGATATGTATGTAAGAACCTTTTTATTCCCGTGTTTTAAGACTTTCCTAAAACTTACTACCAGCATCTTGTCAGAGTTGGGCTTGGTGACTAACGGCTCCACAGGAAGATTGGATTTTTCCGTTAACAAGTTTGCTCCGAGTGGGGTCGGGAGGCAGTTCATCACGGGCCAGCAGTCCCCTGCCTTTGCCACAGGACGCCCAGCCGCAGGCGGGAAGCTGATCCTGTTTGAGCCTTTCCTATTGCTCCTCTGAAGGCTGCCGTGGAACAGAGCCCAAAGTCGAGGCTCTCACAGCCTTGCAGGCAGTTTCAGAAGTGTCTCTGCCTGTGAATTGGTTCCAGGTTGCAGGGTTTCCCCCAGCCGCCCCCCCCCCCCCCAGGCTGTGAGCACCGATGCCGGGAGGGAGGAGGACCCCGCTCTTTCTGCGGGGCCCCTGCCCTTGATTCTGGAGACATTGGGGGGGGGCTCAGGACCACATTTTCTTGGGATCCGCGGTAATTTTTGAGAGCTGCTTTATTAGCATTCACCCCAAGGCCTCTCATCCCAAGGCCAGAAGGGCATTTAGTATTGTAGGAGGCCAGAACACGCCAATGCAATATATGCCTCATGCATAGGATTATTTTGAGCTGTTTATTATGTGAAATAGCCCACGTAAGAGATGTTCTGAAAACACAATAAAAGTTACCTTTTTATAAAAGATACTTATATTTTTAAAGGAAATCTTCACATGTAAGGATGTCTCCCTTTGTATACCAGGAAGAGAAGAATAACTATTATAATTTCACCAGAGGCTCATTGACAGAGAAGGCACCAATGTAGAATTTATTTCTTAGAGACAGAGGAAAGAAAGGACAAAGGGAGGGAGAGAAACATCAGTGTGTGGTTGTCTCTCATTAGCCCTGTACTGGACACCTGGCCTGCAACCCAGGCACATGTCCTGACTGGGAATCAAACCCCCAACCTTCTGGATTGCAGGCCCGTGCTCAATCTCTACTGAGCTACACCAGCCACGACTAATGATACATTCTAAACCACCTCCTTGAGTTATTCATTTCCCTGGCTTAGGTACCTTCCATGTATAAATGAGATATACATGTTAGTAAACTGTTCGTTTTTCTCTCATTAATCTGTCTTTTGTTATAGGGGCCCCAGCCAAGGGCTTAGAAGGATAGAGGGAAAATGATTGTTTCCTCCCCTATGATACCAACATCATGAGGCATTTTCCATTTAGATGTTAAACATTATTTTCAAATGAACCTCTAGCCTAAGATAAAGAGATCTAAGGGCAAGATTGAAACCTGCCCCATACATAGGGTATACTAGTGTGTCTTTGGGTGTGCACCAAATTATTAATTTCTTATGAATAGCACGGTTATATTACATTGTATGGGGAGGTCAAAGTGTTAAATTGTGAAATGCCAAGAAATCATAACACAGCTTTTGCAATTCTTCCTTGCCTTTTAAAAAATATAGTACTTTAAATAGAGTTCAGGAGGGTCTGGGACCTCTTTTAAGTTCAAGAGGCCTGGGTATGCACCAAAAGTTGCAGTGAGCATTAACTATGCTGACCACAAACTAAAAATACACAGCACCCAGTATGACAAGTACAGGGGTACTTATGACATCAAGAAGACAAATTAATAAAAATTGAAACTGTTTTGGAAAATCTAGAAGGAGCATTGTTGTAAGCGTAGATGTTTGGAAACTTCTTCTGGAAAGCGCAGCTCACTCAGTGGCACCCGGGGAGAGTGCCAGTCGTTTCTTGGAATGGACAGACCATTTTAATCTCTTAAAAGTCATGTGATTTTTACATGGATCCATTTCTCACATTTACATCAGTTGCAATGGATATAAAAGCAGTTTGTGCATTGTTTGGTTCTGTTAAATGTTAATCGCTTTAGTAGCGCACTATACCCAGTGACATAACTGGTATGGAGTGTTAACCTTTGTGCATAGCCAAAAATCTCAGGGACTAGACTTAGAAGTAACTAGAAATCGATGAAGTGTTATCTTCTTATGTCATCCACACTAATGGGGAGGGCCATTTCAGAACAGCTCCCCGAGATGACGACCTGAGTGTTTGCCCCTTAAGTGCATTGGAGCTGAGCATTTGGCTCTGAGAGGTGTTTCGGAAATATTTGAATTGGCCTGAAGTCCACGTCTGAGGCAGAGCTGAGAGCCCTCGATGTGGACTGTTTGTTGTGGTTGCAGTTGCCAACGCGGCTCTCAAACTTGAAAAGACACGTCAGTAGATGATGATACTATTCTCATCTTCTCTGTGTGCTACAGCAAAAGGACACGCCGGCTGCAAACAGGCAGGCTGGCAGCAGATGTGTGTGTGTGTGTGTGTGTGTGTGTGTGTGTGTCCAGAGTGAGAGGAGAAGGAAGGCAGGGTGCAACCCTGCCACGGACGGAAAGCCCCTCGGTGCTTTCCAGAGAGGAGATAAAAAGCCTTCCGAGAAAGCACTGGACCGACTTCACTGGTTAGCTCTGTCAAGAGACGCTTTTCACTGAAGGAGGAACTTCTCTTTGTTCAGAGAAAACAAAATTTTGAAGTCTCTGGCTCCAGTTGCTGCCTAAGTCAGTCAGTCCCCAAGTACGACCTGTTGTAAGCAGACCTCTGTGGGTCTTCTGAAGTGGTCAGCGAGCTGGAACCAAACTTTCAGGAAGATGAGAGACCTAAAGTACGGCCCTGTTGAGTGAACTGTGAGATTACATGTTCTGGGAAAAGATATATTGAGCCCGTGGGTGAGAAAGAATCATTATGTAACTCAAGAACCAAAATGAGAAGTAAACGGAATTGGTCAACACAGCCCAGTACAGACGTAGTGCCTTCTGGCTGATGGAACTGTCTTTCCCCTTTTTTGGTATTCACCAGAGTGAACTGTGACATGCACTGGGGCCTCGTGAACATTAGGACAGAAAACACCTCCCCTCTGAAGGGCTTCTCAGAAGATACAAGTTGCTGCAGTTTTGAGATGATGCCAGTTTCACACTTACTCCCTCCCACTCTCTGACCTTCAACTTGGTAGAGCAACATTCTCTTGACAGTGATCACATAGTAATAACAATAATGGCGATGATAAAAGCAAAGAAACAAACAAATAATAACAACTTGGGATTAAAGAAGCCTTGGAACTAAAAAAAGATGTATTAACCTGCAGAATAACTTCAGCTTTGACTCCTAACAAGACACTGTCTTGTAGCAGGACTTTCCCTTTCAGTTTTTTTCATGATGTAGAGTTACTAATTATGTAACTTGAGAATTAGACACTAGTATATGGATCCAGTCTCTATTGCTATCCTACAGTGAAACAGAACACTGAAGTCTAGTGCTGAATGTGTCATTTAAATGCTACATCAGCTTGTCAAAGGGAAGCATAATTTCTAGGCCTGAAGAAGAAGCCACCGAAATCACAGATTTCATAGAACTGTATGATTAGGCGAGGTTAAAATAGGTCCCTCTCCTGGTTTTGTTGTTGGTGCTGTTTTCCTTTCCTTGCCGTGGTGGTAGCTTATGGGCTGTGCCTGCACATGAGCGTGCAAGTGTGTGTATTCATCCAATCACTTGCACTTCTGTGCCTGTGGCTTGCTTGTCTAGTCATGGTGTCCTCAGGGTCGTTGTGTATAGCTGCACAGACAAGTGCACCTCGCAAGCCCACCGGATGGGACAGTGACGCTGTGTAGGAAAACTGGGTCGTTGCTGTGGTGGAAGAGGCTCTGTGGGAAGTAGCCTCACCGGCTGCTCTGATCATACATTCCTCGCTGGGCAGGCCACGGTGGGTAGTCATGCCCAAAGTATATAACTTCTTTGGTAAAAAGTTCCTCTCTGCCTTAAGCAATGGCCCTGTGCATTGTTTCTGTGCCTCTAGATGAACACACCTTTGAAATGCCTCTTTTAGACCCCTCAGAAGAAAAACTACCTTCCAGAGAACCCATAATCTTAACTATGCTGTAACCCAATCCCCGTCTTACTTTCTTCCACCTTCATGTAATCCTCCTTAATTCACTCCTAATTCCAAATGCATAAAACAAACTGCAGCACTTTGATTCTCTGGAGCATTTCAGATGTCACTTCCCTCCAACTGTCATCAGTTTCATTCATGTACAAGCCTATAAAGTTATTTTTTGCAGGTTTGGATGTTTTTCAGGTCAACATTGTCAAGTCTAACATGGCCCCCTAACACACTGGCATTGCTTGCGGTGACTTATATAATGCTTATGCTGACTTGTGATGGGGATACATCCTGATAAAGCCCTGGAAAATTGTCAATACTGCAAGTTGAAAATGCATTTAGTACACCCAACCCACTGAATAGCATAGCCTACCTTAAACGTGCTCAGGACACTTACATTAGCCCACAATTGAGCAATTACCTTGAGTTTCTTCTCAAGGGTAATTGCCTTTCTCTTCTCTCCAGAAGCAGGAGATAGAGATGGGTATTTTGTAGCCATGATGTGATGAGAAAACACAAAGCATGACATCCAACGAGTGCTGGCCACCCCGTGACCTGTGGAGTGTTGGTTGTTTACCCTCCTGATCGCTTGGCTGACGGTCGCTGCCTGGCAACACAAAGCACATTGCTAGTCCAGGAAAACAAAATCCCAAATCCCAAGGACAGTTACTACTAAATGTGTGTTGCTTTCACACCATTATAAATTTGAAAAACCTTAAGTCAGATCATCTGGAGTTGGAAATGATTGTATCAGGAAAAAAAGCTACCTACCCTCCTTTCTCCTGCAATCACAGGAAGTAGGTTAAGCAGGGACAGAGTTGTAGATAAAGTCAAAGGGATTGGTAGCGGGAGGGAGGAATCCTTTTATCTTTGGTGGTGACCGTGACCCTCACCAAAAATCAAAGGTAGGGGCTTGGGGACTTGGGTAAGCCGGGCAGTTTCTCTGCCCTGGCTGACTGTGCAGGGATTTCCCAGGCAGCGATGAAACTGGGACAGAGTTCTGGGGCTGGTCCTCCTGCTCCTGCCATCTAGCTCTGCCTTCCTCTCTGGCCTTGAACCCTAGGCTTAGGCGATGCCATGCCCACACTCTAAGGGGAAAAGGATGGGGAGGGGGACTGAAGGCACTCACCATCTGCATTAACTTTGAGTTTCTCCCAAACCTTTTATAACCTTACACATTCTACTAGAATTTGGCATGACAACACAGATTCTAACCTGATCCTATTTTAATTGTTCTGGAGGGTTGCCCAGGCACCAGTATTTTTAAAAAGCTCTCAATTGATAGTAACCTGTCTCTAGGGCTGAGAAAGTCCATGGTGGAGCCAGAGAATGATCTGGAGTAGGCATCCTGATGGCCCGTCCGGGGCTCTTTACTCTCTGTGTTCATCCCACACCTTCCTGAAACTCCACCGGGCATCTTTCCTCAGGGCCACTTTTGAGGCTGGAGATCTCTCTTAGCAACCAGAAAAATATGTATGGGAGAAGGCAGCTTGCTTGGCTGTGTAGCTATCTTTATGTGACCAAGTGCTTCTTCTTATGGAACATACAAGCCAGTCTCTTCTTCCATTTTAGTTGGTGGCATCTGGTGAATCCCTGCCTCTCAGGATCTTGTGCGGTCTGTATCCAGACCTTAGAGGATTCAACTGTTGTCTGGATTGCAGTCTCAATGGTGGCACCCCCTCTTTGCAGAATGCCGGATTCAGGCTATCCACAAAAGCTGCAGGGGAATAAATAGGACTTACAGAGAAAACCACTAGCGAACAGAGTTTTGCCAATGAGAGGAGCAACAGTAGAAGTTACATTAAGGAAACAAATGAAGGGTTGGGGATCTGTGGATGTTCATCTTCCGACTAGAATGCTGGGGGTTGATGATTAAGAAGTCGACACCGGGTCACACACGGAGAGTCCGGGATCTGTGAGAGATGCCAGCAGACGAGGACATCTGGAGTCAGTATCGGCGGCTCCGGATGCCTTTGCATCACCCAGCACCGTGGACGGCCCTCCTTGGTCCTCTGGGGCCCTGCTCCGGCTGTGTGCTCTGTCAGAGGTAATGAAATCAGACAGGCCCTCAGAGACTTCTTTTCTCTCCTCACCGATTTTTAATAAAACTCTTTGGACAACAGAGCTGGGCATCTCTGAAGCCTGAAATTAAAGCGATAAGAAGGAAGATTACTCACTTGTCAGTCTGCACCGAACTGCATCACCCATACAAATTCCAGGGGAGTTTTTCTAAATCTGCCGACAATGCGAGGCTCTCCATCTGGAGTCCTTTCTTTCTTACTTTCATAGGAAGAAAATAAGCACCAAGGATGAGAAAAGAGACACTTCATTCTCTGCCACAAACAACATGGGAATCCAGCCCTGACTCGGGTTTTCTCAGAGAGGAATTTTTGGAGATTGGCTTTTAAATTAGAAAGTGTCCTCAATTCAGACTTTCTGAGACAAAATGTAATCACAGCTGTTCATTCGGTCACTGCCACCCATTCATCTGGCTGCTGCAGGTTGCTGGATTCCCATGTGTATCCCCCTCTGGTCTCCGTGTCGACCCTCTACCTCGTCCTGCTGACAGCACACCTGGCCTCATGGAGCTGGCAGGCCAGGTGGCACGGCCAACAACAGACAGATACCTAAGTCCCGTAATGGAGTGACAGGCTGTGTTAAGTACCAAGAGAAAAAAATCAGACAGGTCATGGGGCAGAGGATTAGGGAGGAGCAGGGGTGTTTTAGATAGGGAGTTCGGGAGAGGCCTCAGAGCCCCAGGATGGAAATTCAGGGTCTGTGTAGGCTGGCCTCCTTCTCCAGACAAAAATCTTGGCAGTAATTCTGCAAGTAATATTATTCAGTTTTCAATAAAAGAGACTTTATTTAGCCATGGCTAAAATTGAAGGACGAATTAGTAGCTCTCTCTTTTTCCCTCCCCATCCCCTTCTTTCCCATTCTCTCCCTTCCCTCCACCATTCCTCTCCCCACTTGCTTTCTTCTCTTCTTTCTCTCTACTGTCTTTTTTTCTCATCTTGGCCACCTATTCATACCCAGGGAGAGAATCAAAAATTTCAATTCCTTTATAAATTGGAAGCTATTTTTAGAGCCATAAGCTCTCCCAACCCCAATAGGAGAGCTCGCTGCAGCTGACCGCTGCTGCCCTGCCCCTTCCCGCCTGGTCCCCAATAATGTCTGTCTTCCAGCAGCTGTCTGGGGGCGCTGGCCCAGGCTCCTATGACAGGCAGATAAAAACCATGAGCTTCCAGGTGAAAATGCCTAGAGACAAAAATGAACTGCCAGTCTGGGTTCTGTACTAATGTCACATTATTTTTCACATTAAGGCATTGACACCAGATGAGGTGCCAATGGTGTGACACAACCATTTGCTTTAGAATAGAGTTGCAGTCTTTTTTGTGAAAATGTATTCAGGATGGTGTGGGCCAGTGTCCTGGCAGGAAATCCAGTTCTAGTCAAGTGGTTTAAGTGAAGAGAAAGCAATGAACGGGCTGTTGTGAGCGGTGTGGGTCAGAGAAGGGAGCGAACAGCCCAGTGAAGCATCATCCGGAGATGAGCAGGAGCAAAGAGCCATTATCACTCCCAGGGCTGAAAGGCAAGGGGGAGGTGATTTGTTTTCAGAGCCCCCTGAGATCTGGAGTCCTGAAAGCAGTGACCAGGCAGGATGCTGCCTGTTGGAGATAAGGAGAGGTGTAGGGACAGAGCAGAGAAATCCCCAAGCAAGCAGGCTCGGGTCTCCAACCCAAGCAGCAGGCAGCTAGCTGTCCACGAGCACGAACAACTTGACCCCAGGCACAGAACAGGACAGAGAGAGGCAGAGGAAGGAACCTGAGGAGGGCAAATGCAGGGTCTTGGGCACAATGACCATGCTTAACACCCCCCAATCATCAGGTGCGTTGCCTGGATGTGCGTCCACAGTGGCTACTACAGCAACGCATTCTTCTTTCCTTCCTTCAGCTGCAACAGCCAAATATTGAGCGATGTCACATGTGGTCAATGGTCTCCCTGATTAAAGTGCTAAGGTGACCTAATTCAATCCAGCTTTTAATCTAACCTATTTTCAGCAACCGGCCTGTAGAGATTTGATCTGACCACTTGTGTCCTAGCTCTGGTCTCTTCCTTCCCCAAGTCCCTCTTTTTTTTTTTTGTACTTTAAGATAAAAGATCATTTCAAAAGAATTTAATTATTTCCTTTCTAAGTAAACCGAGAAGAATTTCCTCTTCTATTCAATTTTTAGGGCTGTCTATAATTTTCTCATTCCTTCCTAATAAATCATAAAGAAATTTAGGACTTGAAAGTCATCTGACGGTATTTTCCTGCATCGGGAGCCGTGAAGATGAAAGCACAGCTATCTGGGGGCCCCCTGTCACAGGCTGGTTCTGGCTGAAGCCTTCTCGGTGATTGCATTTGCTGTCTCTGGCTACAATTACTGCATGGGTTACATTACAGGCCATACCCATTTCTTTATTGACTGAAATCGTTTCCTCGCCCTTGGCTGAGAGGAATTTTCTTCCCATTAAAAAAAAAAGACAACCCTTGAGAACTTCGCCAGAGGCACACATTCACACAATCTTACCCAATAAATCTGTGTTTAAAAAATGTAATGGGTCAGCTAATGTTTCCTGTGAAAAATGGTTGTTGCCTACACCTTCACCCACTTTGAAGAAACACATCTTTCTGGTCTTCCTAGACAAAACTTCTTCCTAGACAAAACTTCCTGGACAAAACTTCTTCTTTTGTTTTGTCTTCCTAGACAAAACAGAGAGAAACCACCTTTACACTGATATCGATCCACGGGCTTTACCAATGCAAAGCCCTGCAAAGGGCATGTCAGCTCCTCTTAAGCTAAACAGCATTACTAATTAGACCTGGGATTTAGGCTCCTGCTCATTGGATGGTCCTTCATAAGTCTAACTAACCCTCTTTAGAGCCAGAGACTAAGGAAGGCATGCATGAAAAAAAAAAAACCCTCATCAATATTAAGTAATATCATATTGAGTTTCTTGAGGCCCTACTATGGCCTCACGTCATAGAGGGAATCACGTCACCTCTATTTGCAAGTCTGGAAAGTTTGTGTGGTCAACCGTGAAGAGAGGATCTCCACCACAATAATGTATCTTCAGCCCATTCCATTTTAAATACAATTCGCCTCCTTTCCTTTCACCTTCACCCCTAGCCAAAGTGATCAGGTAAGAATCCAGGGTAGATATTTTTATTTATGTGCTAAGGATACCAGAATCTGTAAAAAAGCTATCAGCATGGTAGCCAAAAGCAGAAGGAAGAGAATGCACCCAAAGCACAGCTGCTGAAGTCATGTTCCTTGTGGGCTGTTTTACTAGCAACAGTCTGTTTCCGGGCCTGACGTCTGACACAGAACCTCAGACTTGTCTGCCCCTGCCGGGCTCCCTCTGTGCAAGCCTAGAGTGGGGAATGTGGTATCAGGGCCAGGGACCCAGGCCTCTGTAACTCCATGGGTAGCTCATCATCTAGGTTGGTGGCAGGAGTTAGTTACTTTCCTGGATATAAACAGAGAGGAAAATCCTGCTGGTCCCTGACCCAGAGATGAAAGAAAAGAGCATTCTTACCTGGCATATTCTGGGATGTGGATCAACTCAGGGCCCTGGTGATGCAGACATTTTCAAACTTCAAGAGGCTGACGCTGTGAGAGCCTCCTGAGTTGCTAAGATAATGTGCAGACACCCAGCAGGTATCTGGGGATCGGCATTGGCATCTCTTAGAAGATAAAACCGTCGTTATTGTTAGAGCTCTGTTTAGGAATTGTTGACATTTCACCTGGAAATCAGATCACATTCTTTCCCTGCTAACATCCCTTGCATGCTTTCCTACTGAAATTAGAATAAAAATCTCACCTTCTCTGTGGTTTGTCCTGATCCCTCCTTGCCGGCCAATCCCATTTCCTTCTCCCCCTGTTTTACGAGGTTCGAGCGGTGCAGGTTGCTTCTGTGCCTCCGACATCTGAAACCAATTCTTCTGTGGGAGCTTTTGCAATTCTTGGCTTCTCTTAACTCACGATGTCCTCTCCTCAGAGAGGTCTTCCTCCTTAGGCCACACTTACTAACATAGCGCCCCTCACACAGGTTCTCTTACCCACCATCTCTCTATTCCTTTCCTTTATGGCTTTGATGACAATCAATTTTGTTCTGTTTTGTTTTGGCCCGTTTGCTCCAGTAAAAGCTCCAAAGGGTAGGAGCTGGTCTTGGTCACCACAGTATCATGGAACAAGAGCATGTTGCAGAATTCAAAATATAATTGTTGAATGAAGTGAATTCTATCGGTTAATATTAACTTCCAATGTAATTCATTTGTGAATATGAGCATGTTAGGGTCATGGTCCACATTCTCTTAGGACCTAACACTGCTGAGACACAAAGCATCAAAGCAGGATTAACCTTTGTTGTAAGGTATCTCCCCCAACCTGGGGTGGGGTGCAACACGTGGGCTGGAGTTAAGCTGTGGCTTTTGTTTATGAATTAGGGAAGTTAACTGTGACTACTGAAGTGAGAACTCCAGTGAATTCTCTACCTTCCTTCATTTCTCCTCATTTAGGTTGCAAATATGGGCAGTAATATAAATTCTAATAAAGAACTTTTCATCTATATTTTATTTAAAATGAAGTAATGCTTTTTAAATTTTCTCCTAGTGTTTCTTTTCTGTCCCTTGGACTTCATTTATTCCCTTTGTAATAGAGTGTATAGATGTATCAGTTGGTACAAGATGCGATCTTATGTATTACTTTTTATCCTTTTTTCCTACATTTTCTGACACTTTTTGTAGTAGCTAGAGGAGCCATGTTGACAAAGGAGAATTAGGATTATTGCATTTAAAAACCATAAGAGAAAGAAGGAATTAATTACAGGTTTATTTGTTTCTGCTCCTCAAACACCTAAATTGGTTTATGTATCTGAAAACATTTATTAAGAGATTTTCATCTGAATCAAAACCAAAGCTTCTAACGGGCACTGAGCAGCTCACTTACGAGTTTATGCAACAACAAAGCTTAAAAAGCAGACCAGGGTGGGGGTCTGAGGGTGGTGAAGGCAGCAGAAGATCTTGCTCACCCACCCCTTCCAAGAGGGCAGAGAGGTTTAGAGGATGTGGCTCGAAAGGGCCAGACCTGGGGCTCAAGGGGAGAGGAGCCAGTGCCGAGGTGGTGGGGCACAGCCGGTGGCTTGAGAACCCAAAAGACACCAAGCTGAAGCTGTAGGTGACTTCTCTTCATTCATTTACCCAGGCAAAAAGCCGGTGCAGAGGGTCTCCTGTGTGTCAGACAAGGTCTCGCCTGTGTCAAAAGTGGGACTTTCCTCCACAGCTGCCTGGAGTGTGGCCCAAAGTGGAAGGACACCCGTCTGCAGCCTGAGACTTTGCAGGGCCCCCAGCAAACTATCCTATTTGAAAGCCACCCTGAGTACATAGGGTGGAGATCTTGGCCCCTCTCAGAGAGGCTAGTGATAGTTGGAACAGACACACATCTGGGTGGGGCCGGAGCGTCGGAAAATGCACTTCATGCACACGACCGTTCTGTCCCTAGGAGGGAGATGATAGCCAGCAGAGTTTTGTTCACGCCTTTTTGTCAGAGAAGCCCAACCAATATCTAACTTAGAGATCTCCTACAATGTGCTTCTGGGGGCACTCTGGCCTTGACAAAATAAAATGTGAAAAGCATTTTCTATAACACAGGGTTCCAAAGGGCAAATTCAAATGTGCTCTTGGCCACCTACTGCCACTGTCATCACCGCAAAACAGGGAGGACCAGGGCCAGCCCACATCCAAGACTTCCCACATTTGACCCCTAAGGAATAAAACCTTTATGCTGTTCAAAATCATCCTTACCATCTCCAGCCTGCCATAGACTTATAACCCACCTACCAAATTTTGGCAGCCAATGGCACACCAAGAAGCCTAGCAACAGACAGCATGATGAAGACTGCTAAAAACTTAACTTTGAGTAATGATACATCACCTCCTCTCCAAAAAGAACCTGCCAGTCCCACCAGCCCTGTTAGTGGGAAGCTGCTACAATGAGTGGTTTTCTTTTTTCTTTTTCCCCAAGGAAAAAAGAGGAAGATACTTCTAGTATTTCATCCTGTGTCCGGCATTATTAGGGGCTTCCCTATCATTCATTGTCTAGTCCTGGCTGGCTCTTCCTTACTGTTCCTGCAAGGGCCACAGTCCTCAGGCTCTTGGGAAATACTTTGCAACACCGGATGGCCAGTCCTTGGGGTGGTGAGCTCTCCAGCAGGCTTCGAAGAATATTGAGTGGCCCCAGAAACCATTCCCTGCAGTCCCTGCTCACTACTTGGGTCTGCTGTGAAAAGCCAATGTGGACACCTGTTGTCCTCTTTGCTGGGGCAGCAGCTGTCATGACAGAGCTGACAAGGCAGGCGATAGGACGGGGCAGCATGCACTTGTCAATCTCCCTGACTTTCCCACCCTCCTGAGAATGTTTTTCCTTTTATTATTTTTTCCTGTTTCATTTCAGTGACCCACAGGATGTAGCAGTTTGTTCTACCCTGCATCCTTGATCTAGTGCTTATTGTCCACAAACAGCACTATTTGGAAGGGGGACTGGATCTTGGCTTTCAGATCGAGTTGACTTGACTTGTCATTAGAGTAAGCAGAGAATCTGCAGTGACCAGTGGTCAATCTAGCTTCCATCCCGCCTTCCACAAAAGGGTTAACCTTAGGGCATGTGTTGCACAGGCTCCCTCCAGGCTCACAGGCTGATAGGCTGCAGGGCTTACCATATTAGGAGTGTGTGAAGCAGATTTAGCTCCAGGGACACAGCAGGAGCTCTCCTGTCAGTCTGAAAAGCAGACACTATATTTAGTAACAGGTACTTCGGATTCCCAAACTTCATGTGGGAGTGGGTTGCTGGAATACAGATGTGCAGTGAGTCTCACTCCAGTCCCCACAGGCTTTAAACTGCAGCCCCTAGGAGAGCTGGGCTCTCCCTCCCTCCACCTTTTCCAGATTGTCTGCCTGGAAGCCTTTGCCAGTCAGAGAAGAATAATTCAGTCCCAGTTCATCTCTGATGCTTTTATCACACAGAGGGAAGGGGAAAGGGATTGTCATTGTAGAATGAACCATCACTCAAAATGTTGTAAACGCATTTTTCTCCCTCCAGCCCTTGTCTCTTCTCCCACATCAGATTAACTAACCACTAATACGAGGCGTGGAGTCGTTTATTGTCTCATGACTTCTCTGGTTAGGAAATAAATAAAAGGCATCGCCTGCTGTTGGTTTTGCAGGAAACGTATCTTCGGTACTCAAAAGATTGTATTTCACATTACAAAAGCCCCTGGGTCTAGAACTGTGTTTTTCTTTATAAAATATAGTTGTACAAGTAGACCATAATCATTATGTGTGAATTGATTTCTTATAAGTCCAGACAAACTTGTACAATATAGTAAAAGTCTATGAGAGTAAAAATGAATGAAAAATAGTTTTGGAGGTAAAGTTTTTCATCCGTTTGATGATATGGAAGAGCGCGTGCTCTCTCTCTCCCTCTCTCTCTCTCTCTCTCTCTCCCGCTCTCTGGCTCTTGCTCTCTTCTCTCTGCTTGTCGTTTCAATTGACCGAGACCTTAGGTTAAACAGAGTGGTTGTTTGTCAATGTGTGGTTGGGGAAACAGTTTAGAATATTGGATTCTCCTTATTGCCACATATTTGCATCTGTTACAAACCCACTAATTTCCTCAAATTATTTTGTAGTTGGGTGGAGAATTGCATAGGGCTGAAGTTTCTGGTTGGGAAATTCATTTGGCTAAAAAGCCAAAGCCATAGCATATTTAATGACCATCCACTGGAGCTGGAATGCTTTCTCTCCAGAGTTCTGGCTGGGGTGAAATGACTGGGCCATTTAGATGGCTTTGGTTGAAACTAACAAATTCTAGTGTAATTTAATATGTGTGATTTGGTTAGAACTGTCAACCATCTGGTAAATCGAAGACCTTTCCGATAATGAGGAAGAATATCTGGGATCCTTGTAGGAAAAGAATTTAACTGGGTCAGCACACTCTTTTGTGCAGAGTCATAAGACTGGTAGTGCTATTCTGCAAAACTGTGCACATAAATACACAATGTACATTATGGCCAGACCTGGAAAAGGGAGTTGATTGTGACACTTTTGTGCACAGACAGAGGGACCCGGAAAGGCTGGTGGGGTGGGGCAGGTATTGGGGATATTGTCACATACTGGCAGTCAATGGAGGAGGAAAGGAAGGCTGAGACTCATGCACTGACAGTGAGGGGCAGAAGCCCAGAAAGAGGTTGGAATCAGGGAAGGGGGGACCTCCAGAGATGAAGGTGCCTGCAGAGGCACACAGGTGGAACGTGTAACGGGGAACCTCCAGGAGGCAGTGGTTAGAGGTCAGTTAACCAGGTGCCAGGGCCCTTTCCCTAGAAGACCAAACATCTTGGAGTGGGCTGGTTGTTTGGAAGGCATGGGGCATAGGGGCAGGGGAATATAAGGCAGAGATGCATTTAATAAGAAAATAAAATACTTGAGATTTCAAGACAACAGTTCAGGAATAGGCACATCAGCAAGAATAGAGCTTTCAGATCATTGCAGTTCACAATAATGATTATAACTGATGTTTATTACCCATGTGTGCCGAGCACTGAAAACATCGAACTGACCACATTGCATGCACTGCCTCGTCTAATTTTTATAGTATCACTAGGAAGGTGATTCTCTTATTTTTTCATTAAACTTATGAGGAAACTGAGGCCCAAAGAGGTGCAATGACACTGAGATTCAAATTCAGGTTTCTCTGACCAGCACTCCAAACTTCACGATACTGACCTCCCAAATGCTACAGACCTTAAAACAAGTGTAGGGCTTGATTTTAGAGAAAAGGTAGAAGCTCGGTTCCTATAACCGTTATTTCCCTGCTATAACTTGGATCTGATGTTATTTATTAAACAAACTGGTTATCACGTGTAAGGAATTGAGCTAAGTGGTGGGCCTATAGAAATAAACTTGACTCAGCTTCGCAAAGAATATTGTGATAGACAAATACATAAATAAGAGCACAATGCCGGGAGGCTTATAGAGCCAGGTATTAAGTGCTGATGGGGAAGCTAAGGATGAACGGAACTAGAGACAGCATCTAGAGGTAATATTTGAGGAGCCTGGAGAGAACAATAGAGGCTTCCCAGCTGGACAAGACAATGAAGGATATTTGAGGTAGAGGTGTGCTTGGGAGTATGAGTCATCAGGGGTGTATAGCAGCCTGA